CCGCCCGCGTTCCGCTGCGAGACCTGCGGCCAGCGCTTCACCCAGTCCTGGTTCCTCAAGGGTCACATGCGCAAGCACAAGGACTCGCTGGACCACAAGTGCCAGGTGTGCGGCCGGGGCTTCAAGGAGCCCTGGTTCCTCAAGAACCACATGAAGGTCCACCTGAACAAGCTGGGGCTGAAGACCGGCGGGGCCGGGGCTGGGGCCGGAGTGGGAGCCGGGCCGGGCGATCCAAACCAGGCGATTCAGAACCAGGCTTTCGGGGCCCTTTATTCTGGGCTCCTGCTGGCCAGAGCCGGCGGTGGAGGAGGAGGAGGAGGAGGAGGAGAGAGGGAGGCCTTGGCGAAACTCTTAGGGGCTGGAGCCGGGGATTGTGGGACCGGCGACGGCGGCGGTGGCAACAAGGCATCGATTTTGGGGTACCTGGGCCTGCCGGGGGAAGCGGCAGGGGGGACCAGCTGTGTGGAGAGGCTGCAGGCGGCTGCCCATCAAGTAGCCGAAATGGGAGCCAGTGCAGCGACAGGAGGAGGAGGAGGAGGAGGAAGAGGAGTGGCAAGCCAGGCAGCCGTATGGCACCTGGTTGCCCGGAGCTTGGCGGCGTCCCAGCAAGCTCAGCAGCAACAACAGCAGCAGCAGCAGCAGCAGACAAGGCCGAAGCTCCAGAAGAAGAGCTCTGTGGCCGGGGAGGCCGAGCAAGTCCGCGCCTACCTGGGGGGGCTGGTGTCCAGGGAAGAGCACCTGGCCGCGTCTTCTTGGGAATGCCCGGATTGCGGGAAGCTCTTCCGCACCCTCCAGCAGGCGGTGGTCCACGCCAGGGTCCACGCCAGGGTCCACACCCAGCGGCCGAGGAAGACGAGGGAGCGAGAGAAGGAGGAGGGGGCGGCCCAGCCGGGGAAGAGGCGAGGGAGCGGAGTCGGAGGGCTGGAGTTCGGGGCGCAGAGCCACCCCAAGGCTGGAGTGCTACAGGAGCGAGGAGGAGGAGGAGGAGGGGGCGTAGCCGGAAAGATGGCTGGGTCATCTGGAGGATATCATGCTGTGCTGACCCATTTCCAAGGTATGGGATTCTCCTGGCGGGAATAGCCTGGGTAAAACTGCACACTGAACATCTAAAAAGGTCGTAGATCAAGGAGGACAGGTTGCCCAGCTACTGAGCTGGCTAACTGAGGCAGCTTGCCAAGAGAGATTTCAGGTAGCTGGGACATCCACTGTAGAATTATTCAGATGAGGAATAGATCAGGCTTTAATCCGCTCCAGGCTGTACAGTGACATCTTGGATCTAAACCAGTCCCGGAGGCGGGATGTCCGTCTTTCGGACCTGCGGTCTTAGTTTTGCACAGATAGCCAAGTGAGGCGAGCAGTACCTGCCGCTCTAGGTCATGAGCACAAAGAGCTGGCAGTCGGGGAGTGCGGGTGGGGGAAGTTGTCAGCTCACAGGAAGTGAGATGATCGTGTCCTTTGCGTGACACCTTTCTCGGCACCGGCTGGAGAAGGGGCGGGCTGGGGTTTATTCCGTGCTGAAGGGAAAGAGACGCACTGTTTCGGCCGCGGGGACTTCTTCGGGTATCGCAGAAGAAGACGCACGACACCCGAAGGAGGAGCTGAAACCTTGTGTCCCTCATCTTCTCCTTTCAGCAGGGGAGAAACCTTTACCTGTTCCCTTGCAGCTTGCGCCTGCCCACGCAGATCCCCACTCCAGTGGCTGTGCAGTTCAGTTTAAATCCTTTGTCTCTCTCTCTCTCCCCCCCTCTTTCCTGCCTCTGTGTGCCTGTGCGTCCCCTCCCCTCTGTCCCAATCCTACTGTCCATCGGTCTCCCCCCTCCCCTGCCATCCCCTCCCCTCTGTGTCCCTCTTCAGCGGAGAACGGGCTCAGGGGGACGCCTGCAGCCCCTGCCCCGGCCCCGGGCCCGGCCCCGGCCCTGAGGGAGCGCGTGCGGGGCACCGGGGGTAAGGACTGCCCCTACTGCGGGAAAACCTTCCGCTCCTCCCACCACCTCAAAGTGCACCTGCGGGTCCACACAGGTCAGAGCCTTCTCCCTCTCCCGGCTGCCCGAGTCCTTCCTCCGCTCTCCTGCCCCCTGTGCTCTCGCGGCGGCGTGGCAAGGCCGGACCGCTGCGGCCCGATCACTTATACGCTGTGGGGCGGGGCGGTGGCTCTGTGGCTCAGGATCTGCGCTGGTGGCTGGAAGGTTGCCGGTTCAAATCCCGCGGCTGGCAGAGGAATCCTACTCCGTTAGGCCCCTGAGCAAGGCCCTTAACCCCAGCTGCTCCAGGGGTGCTGTATAAATGGCTGACCCTGCGCTCTGACCCCCAGCTTCTCTCTCCCTGTCTGTGTGTCTCATGGAGAGCAAGGCCAGGGTCTGAGAAAAGACAAATTCCTGATGCAAGAAATTGTATTTGGCCAATAAAGTGATCTTATCTTATATCAGGGGTGCCCAACCTTTTTTACTGTAAGATCGACTTTCTCATTAACCAGTCCGGCGCGATCTACCAGTGTGAATTTGAAGCTCTGATATAGGGAAAACAGACTGTGGCCACATCAGCACAATAACGATACCCATCACTGAAATGACAGCAAATAAAAGCAAGTGACTCGTGCTACAGTGAACCAGTCATGTTCTCCATTTTAGAAAAAATAATAGCCTACCTTAATGTGAGCATTGGCACTGAGAAGCTCACTTGAGATCACTTTGAAGGTGTTGATACTGCTGATCATGTCGATGACATTTGTATGTTGTCCCTGCAGCTCGACATTCAGCTCATTCAGCAGTTCAGTCATATCTGTGAGGAATGCTAAATCCAGAAGCCACTGGTCATCCTCTAATTGGGGATATTCACCATGTTTAGACGACTTGAGAAACTCTTTGATTTCAGGCAATAGCTGTCTAACCCTCGCCAAACATGTTTGTTTTTTAAATCTCAAACAGCAAGTCAGCAGCCTCAGCAAACGCTTTTTTTATGACTTCTCGATCCCAGAATGACTTGTTGTGTTGAGCCAGGACGTGGCTCACACGGAACGATGCGATGATTCCCGCTTTCCCATTGTATGAGGCCTCGTGAAAACCGACTGCTGCCAGTTGAGATTGGAATTTTTCCACTTTTCTTTTCCGTAACTCATTATAAGTGGGGAAAAGTCCACATGAAACTTTTTGTGAGCAGTTTTGAAACGTTGTTCTATATTTCTCTTTTTCGCGTAGATGCTAGCATTGCAGATTTGATTGCGATAGTATAAAAAATAATCATGCTCCCATTCCTTGTGGTAACGGTAAGTTTTTTGTCTCTGTTTCATCATTTTCGCTCAAACTCTACAACTATCAAATCAAACCTATCAAGCTGTTGGCGGATTCATCACGGCCAGTCTGTTTCGCTCCACTATGCACTGTAGCGAATGTGGGGTTCGCGCGGTAATAACCAAGAGACTGTTCTTGTATAGCGCACACACACAGCATAGCTCCTGTGGCCTATTTTTCAGTGTCAGCCAGCACTCAGGGAAGAGACTTTTACAACCCATTCGACAAGGGTTAAACACACACAGGGGCAGTAAAATGTATGACATTACATGCACAGAACTGAATGAATTTTTAGGCTGCTGAAAAAAAGAAAGTCAAATAGCCCATTTATTTTTTGCCAAACATTCTTGCGATCCATCGACTGGCAAGCACTCCAGGGATCGACTGGTTGGGCACCCCTGATTTATATTATTATTATGATCATCATCACTGTTACCACCTCTCTGCTCTCATTCTTCACTATGCCCTTAAATAATAATAATAATAATAATAATAATAATAATAATAATAATAATAATCATCATCATCATCATAATAATAATCATAATAATAATCATAATAATGACCATAATCTGCCAGTAGAATCATAATAATTCCTTACACTTATATAGTGCTTTTCTGCAAACATCACTCACAGCGCTTTACAGGTAATGGGGAATCCCACAACTGCCACCAGTGTGCAGCCCCACCTGGCTGATGCTCCAGTACTCTCACCACACACCAGCTCTCAGTGTGGAGGAGAGCAGAGTGATGAAGCCAGTTCAGAGAGGGGGATTATTAGGAGGCCATGATTGGTAAAGACCAGGGGGAAATGTGGCCAGGATACTGGGGTAACACCCCTACTCTTTTCAATTTAAAATTGAAATACTTCACATATGCATACAGTTCTAAAGCACAAGAATTGAAATGTGTCAGTCGAAAAGATGAATTGCAGGCTGCTATATGGAAATATCTGTGCAGGGTACACTTCAGTGCCTTCTCCTCTTGCGAGCTTATTACAGAGGGATTCTGTCTTACGGTCTTTTTTTGTCAACCATTCTGATTATTATTTAGAATGATGCTCTGATATTGTAGATAAATCTCTCCAGGTCAGGGAACATTATTAGTATTGTCATATCAAACCCAGTGTAGTGAAACCAATGTTGCTGTGCCAAAAGATCTCTTTTTAGATTGCAGTCTCCACCTAGTGGATATCAAGGGTAACTGCATCGGCTCAATTCTTGAGCCTCCCCAGGACTTTTTTTAATACACCCATAAACCAGAATTGAATTCTGCATGAACATCCTGCACATACCAATTAACTGTGAAATCATGTACACATTTACAAGAGAAACAGAAAAAGGAGGTTTAATTGGGCTGCGAACGGTGCTGGAGCAAAAGCAGTTTACAACAGGATCAGGGGTCTTAACAATAACCCTGTCCTGAATCTTCTGCCAAAAGACCTTTGTTTATCCTGGTAGAATTTTGCAAAGAATAGAAATAGAATAGGGGCAGAAGGACCCGTTCTTGCCTGTCGTGCTTATTATGTAATGATCTTTGTGTTGGCAGGAGAGAGGCCCTACAAGTGCCCACACTGCGACTACGCCGGCACCCAGTCCGGGTCTTTAAAGTACCACCTTCAGCGCCACCACCGGGAGCAGAGGAACGCCGCCGCGGCCGCCGCCACCACCGCCACGGCCGCGGCCGGCTTCCTGGATGACCACGCCTCTCCCAGGGCGCCTCAGTCCTTCTCCCTGGCCCACCGGGAGCCGTTCGGGAGGCCGGATTTCGCGGGGCTCGGGGGGGCGGGCGGCGACTCCCCCAGGAACAGCAGCCTCTCGCCCCACCAGCAGCAGTGGCAGGCGGGGTCCTCGAGCCGCAGGAAGCGGAAGGAGGCCCGCCGGAGCCCGCGGGAGGTCCCGCAGGAAGGGCTGCACTGGCTCGCGATGCCGGAGACAGAGAAAGGAGGAAGCGGAGGAGGAGGAGGAGGAGAGGAGGCCTTCCCCGGCTTCCAGAGCTGGGCCACCGAGGGGCCGCGAGTCAAGGTGCCCAAATCGTCCCGCCGGAAACCGCTGAGCACCAGCAAGTTTGCTTCGGCGGCCCACGCTAATGGGAAGAGGGGCTGGCCGGGGGGGGGCTTTGAACCCCTGGATCTCTCCCGTCGGCCTCCCCAGGACCCCGGGGAGGAGGGGGTGACGCTGCACCAGTGCCTGTTCTGCCCCTTCCGCACCTCCTCCGCCGAGCTCATGGCTATGCACCTGCAGGTCAACCACACCAGTAAGTCCCGGCGCAAGGACCGGGGGAGATACCTGGGAGGGTCAGTCGCAACCCAGAGGGAGGCGCTACCCCCCTGGCCGGGACAGGGCCCGGGAGGAGATTTCTGGGCTGACCCCTTGCTGGGCATCCGCAATTCCCCCACGGAGGATTTGAAACGCCTCTTGCTGTCTGAAACGGGCCTTCCCTCCCGCCCCCGGAAGAGAGCCACTGCCAATGGGATACTTCCGGAGGAAAGTGGCACAACAGCCCCCAACAGTACCCCCCCGGAGAGAGATCAAGCACCCAGGGATCCGACCGCAGGAGAGTCCCAAGGAATGGAGTTCGAGGATGGGGATGGAGGACGAGAGGAAGAGGAAGAGGAGGAGGAGGAGGAGGAGGAAGAGGAAGAGCGGGAGGCACAAAGCAGCCAGAGCAGCAGCACTGGGGAGTCTCCGTCTCAGGGAGAGAGGAGCCCTCCAAGTCCAGTCCTGCCCCCAGAGAACCATCTCTCTCTGGGTTTTGGGTCAGGAGAGTTACCATCGGCGAAAGAAGACCAGAGCATCGGGGGCGACTAGTCGGGTCTCTGGAGGGAGACGGGACAAGCGAGGTGGGGTGAGGGAGGGAAGCTGTTAGGGGGGAGTTGTAGGCAGGGAGGAGGAATGGTCACCATGCTCCCTTGTGGATTATCTACTCCGCTTCTTAGCTGCCTCTTGCAGACACTCCTCCACGCCACCCGGATCCTGGGAAACGACAGTGACGACTGGGAGGGCTCTCCCCGGCCACTGGTTTCAGCTCACACTTCCACTGCCCTCACCTGTCCCAAGAGCCTCTGCACAACTGGAAGAACCCTGCCTACCCTTCAGATTAATTACCTCCATATTACGGAGGAGAACCGTCAAAACCCTGCAAAAGCACAGCGCTACGAGGTTGGCTGGCAGGAGCTTGCTTGGATGAATTGTGGCAAAAGCCATGACGAATCAAGAGATTAGTGAGCACCAATTAAACATTGCCTAACCTTCCAGAACGGCAGAAGAGGTTGTTTCCAAGATTTGGAGGTTACCCCGACTTTTCCAGAAAACTGGGGGCTCTCCAGTTCCTTTGGGAAGAGGACTCCTTATGCCAGCTTCTTGCCGGATTCACAGGACTGTTTCACAGTTACTCTTATTCACAAGTTATCACTTTGCTGGCCATTTAGCTTAAGCTTTTGAGCAGAGGCCATAGTGCCAGTTCCTGCCAGTCAACAAAAGTCCTAGTTTGGGTGTTCAGAGAGTCCTTCAAAATCCATATTCTCCACCAGACTTCCAAGTAAAAACCACAATTGCCTAAACCTGAATTCTGGAGGCCTTTTTGGTGATTTCTGAGTTTTCCTAGTTTCATTTAGTGTGAAACCAGAAATGTGTCCCTCTTTCTCCCACGCCCTCCTCCTCATCGTGTCGGCATTACAGGTGACAGACAGTGCCTTGATCTGCAGAATGCTAAAATATATATATATAGTTTCTTGTTCCAGTGTTAGAATGTTGTTGTCTTCTGGATAGCTTCCCTGTACAGAGACATGTCCTTTTGTTTATTTGTTTTTAAAACCAGTAAGCAGATCAATCAGACATTGACTGGCGTTACGTTTCATACAATATTATGACAACGGTTCAATTAAAAGGCAGCTGACAGCCCTCTGTCTCGTGGACAAAGGGAAACCCATCCACATTGTCCAGTCACTCCCTTGCACGGATAAGGGATTTCAGCCAGGACGTGCACAGGATCGCCATGTCCTGCTACGACAATTTACATTACATTCATTGTGATTCGCACTTGCCTGACAACTTTGCGATTTTCATCGTTGAGCGTTGTAGTCTGTCTGGATGCCTTGGGTTGATTAATACTGTCTGAAATGGCAACCGTTGCTTCTACAGGGGTTAAAGAAGTAAAGGGGTTTTTGGAACTACCCACCCAACACACTTTCCAGGAGGGGAAGTCTCTTCCTTGCCCACTTCCCCTTCTGTCCCTTTGTAAAGTTCTGGAGGTCTTTGTGCTGAAACGACAGTTCCCGAGCTCTTCCTGCATTTCATTGTCACCCTGGGACATTCTGAAATCGGGGATCTCCCTTCGATGATGCTATCTGCCCTGAGAGAAGGATGTACCTTCTGAGGTGAAGGCCATCTTTCTGCATCACCCTTGCTTGGCTGTGCCTCTGCCTCCACCCAATGTAGAGCTGAAATCTCACAGTGCTGGATTTGCAGCAGCGTGTCCCTGATGGGGGCAGCTCTCCAAGATCAGATCTCCAACAATGACAGTGAAGTCCAAGTGGAAGTACGGAAATGGCTTGGGAAACGACCACAGAGTAGATCCATAGCCTCGTTTTGGCTGTGATTGCCACGGGGATGTCTCTGGTTCCGAGTTCAACTATAAAACAGTCTGGGAGCAGAATTTCCCCGGTGAAGATTCCTGGTTAATTCTGGTAGATGTTAGCATCGGATTTCTCAGGGTCAGAGCTGATATTTATTGGAAAAAAACTTGCTTTACTCCGCTCAACAGTGAACGTCTAAGAGTAGTCAAGTGATTACCTACAGAATGTGAACTGTCCCCTTCAAAGGTTTGCTGTAATAATCTTGTCTCTACTGTTTTTTGAAATGGTTGCAACTGGAAAGTGCAGGTCTTGACCTGTTGGAATGGGAAACCTGTAGATCCCAATTAATGAACTACTGGAACTTCCACTGGGTTTGGTGGGATACCTCATTGCTGGTCTCTCTCACATTCACATTGTTCTCAACCAGGCTAAAGGACACCGCAGGTGTCCTACCCTTTTCCCCATGTACCGGAGAGAACCCACCATGGAAACAGTAGGACGCCTGCCGTTTACCTGGGAAGTTGTCGGGATATGAACTCTGGGAAGGAAAAATGGCATCCCAGGTCATTTCCTCTGCAGTAGCAAGACATGGAGAGGTTCAACACTATGTTTTGTTTTCTGACATCTTTAAGGACAAGGGTTGAAGTGTTACAGAAATGAAACAAGGGACATTTTCTCTCGTTTACACTAAGTGCCAGTATTTAGGACAGCATCAATGTACATCAAAGGAATCAATATTAAAAAAAATACATAAAGAGACTTTTGTTTTTTTTTGTTTTCTCAAAATTAGAAAATAAGCTGAGCAAACTGGATTTTTCCCAAAGTACCCCCCCCCCACCCCCACACACACCCCCACGCAGGAGGAGAAAAGAGACTGGCGTGGTGGAAGAGGGGTTGAAAGGGTGAGATTCAGGAAATCAAGTTTTGGAATTTTTATTTCAATAGAAAAACCCGAAACTCAAACATTCCTTTCGGGGAAAAGAACGTAGTGCTGGCCAGCACTCGCGTGGCACTGTCACCCAGGGGTGCCGAAGCTATATTGTTCGTTTCTCCTTCTTTCTAGGTCTATAGATTTTGAAGAAAATAAATAAAAGAAATGAAATATAAAACACTAACAATAAATGGATAGGAACCCAGTAGAAATGTGTAGCTTTTAAAAAAAAAATGTCGTTTTTTTATTTTATAATTTTTATTATTATTATTTTGATAAAATGTTAATGTCAGCAAAGGATATTAATAATAATTATAATACATACATATAGTGAAGACTGTGGATTGAATTGTGTGGAAAAGCAAAGCACTGTGGGAGATATTTTCTTTCTCCAAAATAGATTTTTTCTTTGAAAATGAGACCTGTCTACACAAGGAGTTGTTGACTTTCAGCTCGCTAGCAGCACCAATTAAGGCAGTAGTGTTCTGTACCTCCTCGACCTTAATGTTGTATTTCCTGTCCTGTTGAGTGTTTATTACTGAGGGATTCTCTGCTATCTCCTCTCTCTCCCTGTCTCCTGTCTTGTTGTGTGTGTTCATTACTGAGGGATTCTGTTATCTCCTCTCTCTCACTGTGTCTCCTGTCTTCTTGTACGAGTTTATTGCTCAGAGATCCTCTATGATCTCCTCTCTTTCACTCTCCCCTGTCCTGCTGTGTGTGTTTATTCCTGAGGGACTCTCTGTTATCTCCTCTCACGCTCACTGTGTCTCCTGTCCTGTTTTTCGTTTATTACTGAGGGATTCTGTTATCTCCTCTCTCTCACTGTGTCTCCTCTTCTGTTTGTGTTTATAACAGGGATTCTCTGTCACCTCCTCTCTCTTGGTGTGTCTCCTGTCCTATTGTGTTTACTACTGTGGAGACTCACAGATATCAATGGAATGGAGCAGAGCATATGAGCTACTGCTTTAACCTGTATATATACAATGGTGCACCTTATAATTTTCTTCGTAATGCCCATGAAGTCAATCTTATTTCGGATCAATCATGTTGTGTAGCGAGTATTGTGCCTCTGAGAGACAAGAGGATGAGATCCAAACAGTTTCTCTCGCTCCTGAGCAAGAATCTGCTTTCCTGCTGGGGAAGGGTTTAAACAAGACAACCTGTACTTCTGTCCAAATCTGCAACAAAACTGACCAAGCGGTTAAGAAGCAATAAAACTTTCATTCAGTGCAGAAGCCAAGAGCCTCAGTGGGACACAGGCCCCTCTTCTGTTTTTTTATCTCTGTGTGCGAGACCCACCGTTTGTCAAAGTTCAAAGTTCAAAGTTCAGGAGCTGTAGGCTGGGGGAGTCTTCAGTCGCCAGGCTATCGAAGCAAGCCTGGTTAGCAGGACATCCTTTTGAAGATTCCAGCTCAGGGCGGTTCAGTCCCAGTCCTGTAGGGGGCGCTGTGTCTGCAGGTTAAATCAACAAGCAGCCTCCGCAGAGCTGGGAGAGACTGTTGAACTGTTTCGCCTCCTCTGTGATTGATCAAGCCTGGTCCAGCGACCTCGGTCTCTCGCTGTGAGCAGGGAAACAGTGAGCGTAGAAACACTGTAGCTCTGTGCCGAGAAGAATGTATTCTTGGTTGGTAGTTTTCATCGGACTCCATTTTCGAAAAACTAGGGAGACCCGACAGGGGGGGTCAGACTTGCTGCAGATCTTGCACTGGAGCGATAGGAGCTGTCTGGAGCAGCTCCTCACACCTCTGCTGGTCAGTTCGGAGCCAGACAGTCAGGGAGCCAGACAGGACTTGAAAGGCACTGCCCTCATCCCTCAGTTACCAGGAGCTCTTCATCCCAATATGTATAATAGAGACTGCCTGGATGCCACGTTGAGACTTCTATTTAATAGAATAACTATATAACACAATATGCTGTATCTTGTAAGTTATAAGATATGGCTTATTATAAATATAAATATTTACATCATATATATTCCCTGATCAGAGACCTTGCCTAAAATACCACAGACTGCTTGGATCTTATATTACTGTAATTTCTATATCGGAATTATTAATATTATAATTAATCATAATAATTGGGGGCTGACATTGCACTTCCTTCCAAGATCGCCTCTTGGCATTCTGGCCTTCGATTCTGTCCCTTTCTAAAAGAAGACAAAAAAACGACGATTGTTATGATTGTTGTCTTGAATATGGGGGGAAAGACGTCGGTCAATAACCAAAGTGCCTTCTTTTGCAAGCACTTCCTAGAGTCTGTTTCATCAGTCGTTTAAAGCACTAGTTATTTATCGTCTGCTCGCTGGTCGGTTGTCCCCTCTCGCTCTCTCTCTCTCTCTCTCTCGCTCTGTGCCTCCTGTTCCTGTGCTTGGGCTGATCCACGCAGGAGGCACGGGACAGGAGACACAGCGAGAGAGCCGAGACTGTACGGTAGATACAGCAGATTGTTACGAGATCAACTTGTTATTAACGCCTTTTAATGTGATGGGTCACGTGATGGTTTTTTAAGGTGGTCAATACTGTACTGTTCTTCTTATTATAATTATTATTATTGGCTGGACATGTGTCTGTTGAATGTTGTACAGATAGCACTAGACCTGTCGTGTTTTCAATGAGATCACAGACCCACCATTTGCTTTCCAATCTCAGCACTGTGAGAGAAAATGCCGGACACTAGGACGGTGATCCCAAATATTGTCCAAGGTACTTATTTTTCCCTACATCTGGGACGCTTTTACCCCCCCCCCCAACTTGGAATATTTGCTGTCCATTCAAGTTTGCAGTTACCAATTCTTCTTATTTTGGGGGGTTTCTACCCACCCGTCTGGGACAGAATGATGATGTGAAGGCAAGAACTCCTGGCTCACTCCTGGGTCCTGGGTTTGATTCTGGCCTCAGGCATCTGTCCAATGGGACATTTCCCCCTGTCTGTGTGGGACTCTGGGGTTGTGATGCTGTCATGGCAAGGAAGACATGAGAGATGTCTGATGGAGAGATGAGAGGTGGCAACGTGACAAAGCAATAGCGCACCTAGGTGACACAACGGAGCCATGTTCTGCCTGGGGTGCTTTTCCTTGCCTGACATGATGTAGATCACGATTTCATTCCCAGCTTTTCCAGCTTTTAGAACTTGGGGTTCCCAGCCCTGGTCCTGGAGAACACTGCCTTCTGATTTTCGTTCCTAACGAGTATTCCCATGGAGTTTTCCTCCCAGCTCTCAGAGACATGCTGACTATGTTTGAATGGTTGTGCCGAATGGTCCCAGTCCCTCCTGGCATGCCGTGCTCCCAGGAGAGACTCCTTCTTACCCCCAGAATAAGCAGCTTGCAGATGGTGGGTGGACGCGCCTTCTCGATTTAAAAACCGCCAGTGGTTTTAAGACTTGGCTTTTTGACCAGGACTCCACTTTCTCACAGTAAGAGAAAGTGAAAACTGCCAGACATGCTCCTCCCACTTGCAGGAAACATTTAATTCGCCCCCAAGCTCCACTGCGCCTCATAGGAGAGTGAGGCCTGATTGGATGGGCCACACGTCCCTGCAGGCCTGGCAAGTCGCAGGCAGGGGGGCATTTGCCAGAAAACCATAAGCCCCAGCTCGACCCCCTGCTTGGGGAATCCTGGTCGAGGTTACAAAGTGACCCATCAGGTTCAAATTGGCGATGTCTGGTGCTCTTGAGCTCAACCTGCGGCCTCTACTGGTTGAGCCTCTCAGAAGCCTCCCATGGAGAAATTTCCAACCATGAGTTCACCCAGTTTGCCACTCCAGCCCAGTCAGCACCGGATAGAAGCCTCTGATGCACAGTGCCCTCTTCTGGTCCTGCTGCACAGCCTCACTGCCACTGCGGCTCACTGGAGGGACAGTGGAGGGCTGGCCTCCACAGCCCCTCTAACTTCTAGCCACAGATGTCGTTTCCCTCCAAAACAAGGCAGCAGTGTTTTCTGGTACCTAGAGCTGGCTCTCCTGAACCTCGATATTTTCAAAGCATCTTTCCCCAGCATAGTAATGTATTCCTGATTGCGTGGTGTGATTCTACCTGTCCCAGCTAACTAACTATAAATCTCTTCCAATGGTCCACTCAAAGCACTTTACAGGGAATGGGGAATCCCACTACCGCCACCAATGTGTTGCACCCATCTGAATGATGTGACAGCATCACCATAGTGCACCATAGTGCATCAGTACTCTCACCACACACCAGCTATCAGTGGGGAGGAGAACAGAGTGATGAAGCCAGTTCAGAGATAGGGATTATTAGGAGGCTATGATTGTTAAAGACCAGGGGGAAATTTGGCCAGGACACTGGGGTAACACCCCTACTCTTTTCGAGAAACATCCTGGGATTTTTAAAGACCATGGAGAGTCAGGACCTCGACTGCGCATTCCTTCCAATAAATTATTTTTTTAAATAGCACATTCGTGGGTGACTGCTCTTGGTTGGGACTGTTGGGTCCCCTGGTCCAGTGGAAAGCCCCATTTCCCTGGAGAACATGCGGACTCTGGAGGTTCCACTGGCTGATTCGAACCCGGAACCCAAGAGCTGTGAGGCAGTAGCTAACCACCCTGTCTACCAAGTGACAAAGCTTTTCATTTAAAGACCGGATTTTCAGTGTTTCCTACAGCACTTCAATAATGGAGTAAAGTCAGTATAGAAGATGTTCTATCTTATGTTGTGAGAACTATGTAGGCTAATGTAATTAGTCTGTGGCAATATATATTCTGACTGCATATTCCTTCTAAGAGGTTTATTTTGTATTGAGCTTTTCGTGTGTGAGGGGAAAGTGGGCTGGGTCTGTGGTCTTGTGTAGCTGACTGCCATTGCAGTGAAGGGATTCATCTAACATGTAGTGACTAATACCGAAAGGCCAGAAACTTTAGGGATGAACAAATAAATGGAGTTTAAAATCATGAGCTGTCTTGTCTGGTGTCCTCCCTCGATGGAAAGCACACACTGTGCGGACATGAAATCAGTAATGAGTTGTTTTTGTTATCAACACGAAGCAATCCATCCATCCATTTTTTAACCCCTTGATCCAGTACAGTGTTGCGGAGGAGCCTGAACCTATCCCAGCAGGCAGTGGGCTCCAGGCAGGGTACACCCTGGACAGGACGCCAATCCATTACAGGACACACACACCCACAGACACACACATTCATAATGGTTACCCATTATCCCACCAGCATGTCTTTGGACCGTGGGAGGAAACCAGAGCACCAGAGCACCAGAGAAGACCCACGTGACCTTGGGGACAACATACAGACTCCACACAGACAGCCCAGGAATGGAACCCAGGACCCCAGCGCTGTGAGGTAGCCCCTGCACCACCATGCTGCCCATCACTTACCAGAGATCTCTGTATCCTGATCCAGGAAGGGATGGTAAAGCTGCGGGTTGTCTGGGTATCTTCAAGCCAACAGCTTTGAGCCACGGATAAATCATTAAATTAAAGCCAATACAATCGATTAGCCGTTAAGAGCCGAGCTGGAATTCAAAACAAAACCCCCAGACAGACTGACCCTCCCAATCAGGACCTCCGGTATGAGTCACACAGCTCTTTGACGAGGTCTTACAGTATTAGTGGCAATAACGGCAGTGCTGTTTACAATGATGACGAGAGGAGCTTTTCCCCAGTGACTGGAGGGAGATGAGTGAGTATCAGCACAAGGGAGGACAGAGATCTAAAACGGTGAAGCATGATTGTGATGCTGGAGGGAAATGCAGCCATATCACCCTGCAACTCACAACTGGCAGCCCACTGAAGCTTAGCAGGTGAGCCTGGCCAGTACCTGGATGGGAGACCTCCTGGGAAAAACTAAGGTTGCTGCTGGAAGAGGTGTTAGTAGGGCCATCAGGGGGTGCTCACCCTGCAGTCCATGTGGGTCCTAATGCCCCAGTATAGTGACGGGGACACTATACCGTAAAACAGGTGTTGTCCTTCGGATGAGACGTAAAACCGAGGTCCTGACTCTCTGTGGTCCTTAAAAATCCCAGGGCATTTCTCGAAAAGAGTAGGGGTGTAACCCTGCCGTCCTGGCCAAATTTCCCATTGGCCCTTACCAATCATGCCCTCCTAATAATCCCCCTCTATGAATTACTTGGCTCTCCTCCCCACTGATAGCTGATGTGTGGTGAGCGTTCTGGCGCACTACGGCTGCCGTCGCATCATCCAGGTGGGGCTGCACATTGGTGGTGGTGGAGGGGAGTCCCCATTACCTGTAAAGCGCTTTGAGTGGAGTGTCCAGAAAAGCGCTATAGAAGTGCAAGCGATTATTATTATTAAATGGTGTCTGTGGATTTCCGTTCCACCTCTGCTCTTAATGAATGAATAATTAATGGGGCTATCCATTAGCTTAATGGGACCAATTTAACACTCTTCAAAGGTCTTCGTTTGTGGATGATTTAAGGAGCCCTACTGTAGAATTTGAAAATGAATACGAAAACCTAGATAGTGGGCTTTGGAGTTATGCACCTACAATCTACAACAAATAAGAAAATAGCTTTTAAAATAATTGTCTTAGCTATCTGATAAATTTGTTGCTCCATTTATCGACCTCTGTGTCTATGTGAACTGCTTTACAATTCGATTACACGTTTTACCACTTTATCACGGGCAGCACGTTCACACATTGTAAAAGCAATCGCTCCTTTTTTGTGATGATTACGGTAAGCACATCTTCCCTCGGCAACGATGGCAACGCGTCTCGCCCTCGTCACATGACCGCGGCCGTGAGGTCAAAGGTGAGCATGACGAGACAGAGGCAGTTCATGTGGTTATGTTTTTGTTCTGTGCTGTGGGGAGGGGGGGAACCTGATCCGTTGCATCAGGATGTAGCCCTCATCAAAAAAAGCAAATGCACGGGAAATTATTAGGAAGACCGGGATATCGAGGTAAGAGCACCACGCATGTCGCATTTTTGTTTTTACCTAATTGCCAAAGAGGGGTTTTCAAACACGTCTTTGGCCTAGGAACACAGGACCGAGGTGAGCTCTGGAGGACTTAGCCGTGCAGGACAGCGCGGAGCCGGCGGCCGGGTATGATCGTGGATCGGCATGTGGTGGAAACACGAAACGGCAGAGCAGCAGTCCGCGATGCGGAGACAGTGGGAGTCCCGCGGCTTGCGCGCTGTCTGCGAACTGCCCAGGGGACTGCAGGGCGGTGGTTAATTAATTAATGGTTTCGCCGGCTTAGACCTTATTTTGCCAGTACGTATCGGGAAACAAAAAGTAACATCGGAACTTTCCAGTGACTGTAGCACTCGTTTCTGTCACTATCCGATCTGTCACTGCTCCGGGTCACTGGTTTGCGGTCTGTCATACGTACGCATCTTTGTGATTCGTGCCTCTGTGCTCAAACTTCAATAAAACGACCCCAGATCAATAAGCAAGAATCTCGTTTTCCTGTTTGTCATGCCCGTTCATTGAGGCGAGAGAGAAAAAAAAGATGTATTCAATTATGTTACCGGCTGCATATTCCTGCTAAGGGTCATGTTGACCTAGATTACTGCTTCTCAGATCCCGGTGCTATCCAGGGGATTTCGGTCCAGTCAAGATCTTTGATCTCCGGTGCTAGTTGATGACTTGTATTGGATCTGCGCGCTGGGTTAAACTGCCGGTTAGCTTGTTCTCGCAGTCGGTGTCGAAACCGCCGTCTCCCCCAGCTTCAGCGCACCGAGCCGAAAGCAGCCCGTCTTCCACCTGCTTATTCTGACCTCGGACTCCCCGGGTCTTGACGGCCGATCACCAGCTGGGAGTATCAGCTGGGAGTGTGCCAGAAGCTTTCAAACCGCTGTTTTTCTTTTTGCTTCTGAAAAGATCCGATGGCTTGCATTTCAGATGCCAAATACGAGGCTCAAAGCCAATTGAACATGTAGCCCTAGACGAAAGCACGTTGCATAGCGAATGTGAGCTCTTTCCACCTGGATCAATTTGAGCGGTGTGGTGGCTCTGTGGCTCAGGATCTGTGCCTGTGGCTGGAAGGTTGCTGGTTCAAATCCCGTGGCTCGCAGAGGAATCCTACTCCGTTGGGCCCCTGAGCAAGGCCCTTAACCCCAGCTGCTCCAGGGGTGCTGTACAATGGCTGAGCCTGCGCTCTGACCCCCAGCTTCTCTCCCTGTGTGTGTGTCTCATGGAGAGCAAGTTGGGGTCTGTGAAAAGACGAATTCCTAAGATAAGAGATTGTATAGGGCCAATAAAGTGGTCTTATAAAGTGATCTTAGACAACATAGACTCAAGAGCAACAGAACTAAGTCACCTTTCTCCCACAGCTATCAACCTGCTTTTTTTGACTTTGAACAAGTAACTGTACATTACTTTATATATTTATTTTCTTTCTCATCAAACTTCTAATAAATGTTTTTGTGCAATCCGTTATGTCTGTTAACTATATTGTGTTATGTCTTTACTTGCCTGCGAAGCCAATTTCCCTTCTGGGACAATAAAGTACGTAAGCTGATGACAGGGCCGTCTCAAGGAGTGTGTGTGTGTGCGCGTGTGTAGGGGTGGCGGCAGGGAGCAGCGTTGAGGTGATGAAATAGCTCCCTAACTGGCCTGCGCAAACCCGGACACACAGAACCGAACAGAACTACTGATCGCCGTTGGTGTTCATGCTGTCAGGACCTGCAGGTGTCTCGCTGCCAGTGCGATCACCACCCGTGTCCGTTTCTTCTTCACTCCTGGCTTGTACCGCCAGCCTTTCCCCAGCCCCCAGCATCCTCTCCTCGTCTGCTTCCTCTTTCTTTTCTTGCCCCTGCTGTAGTGTTCTCGGAATTTGTCCCTGTCTTGGCTTGTGCTCACCCTTGTCCCACTGGCTCTCTTTTCTCCCAAGCTAGTTTAGTTAATAATAAGATCACTTTATTGGCCTTATACAATTTCTTGTATTAGGAATTCATCTTTTCACAGACCCTAGCTTGCTCTCCATGAGACACACAGACAGGGTGAGAGAAGCTGGGGGTCAGAGCACAGGGTCGGCCATTTATACAGCGCCCCTGGAGCAGCTGGGGTTAAGGGCCTTGTTCAGGGGGCCCAGCAGAGTAGGATTCCTCTGCCAGCTGCGGGATTTGAACTGGCAACCTTCCAGCCACAGGCGCAGCTCCTTAGCCACAGGGCCACTGCTCCATCCTAATGATGCGCCCTAGTTATGCCGTGATCACTTTTAGCTTGCAACTGCTGGCCTATGACGTTGTGAGTGTGGGACACGCCTCCAGTTCTGAAGATTTCATCTCGAGCGAATATAAGAGTTTTGTGTGTCGTAAGAGTTTGTGATTCGGAGTTGGCATGAAGCCACTGAACTAGAGCCAGCTGTCCACCTCGCAGTTGCACGCCAGCTGGCTTTACAGATGCCGTTGAACCTTCTTGTCTGCATGTGAGTGGGAAGAACGTGCAACCTCTAGAGCAGAGAGGGACACAGCTCCAGTCCTGGCCAGGGAGGTCTGCCCAGGCCCCTAATGAGCTAATTGAACGTTTGACCGAACATGCATTTGTTGAATCGGACACAGCCAAGAGCACTTCCTTGCTCTTGAAAAGCTGGACAGTTAAAGAATGCTGGGAAACCCATTAGACATGGCCCTGGAAGACCAGGTTAGGGCTCTCCTGGTCCAGAGGAAAGCCCAGTTCTCTGGAGAACATAAGATCAGATCACTTTATTGGCCATATACAATTTGTTGCATTAGGAATTTGTATTTTCACAGACCCCAGCTTGCTCTCCATGAGACACACAGACAGGGAGAGAGAAGCTGGGGGTCAGAGCGCAGGGTCAGCCATTTATACAGCACCCCTGGAGCAGCTGGGGTTAAGGGTCTTGCTCAGGGGCCCAACAGAGTAGGATTCCCCTGCCGGCCACGGGATTTGAACTGGCAACCTTCCAGCCACAGTGCCCCAATTTAGACTCCGCACTGGAGGTTCCCCCGGGCTGATTCGAACCCGGAACCCAAGAGCTGTGATGCAGCAGCTTACCACCCTGTCCACCAAGTGACAAAGCATTTTTTAATTTAAAGACCAGATTTTCAGTGTTTCCTACGGCACTTCAATAATGGAGTAAGGTCAGTATAGAAGATGTTCTGTCATATGTTGTGAGAACTATATAGGCTAATGTAATTTGTCTGTGGCCATGTATATTCTGACTGCATATTCCTTCTAAGAGGTTTATTTTTTGTTGATCTTTTCGTGTGTGAGGGGAAAGTTTGCTGGGTCTGTGGTCTTGTGTAGCTGACTGCCATTGCAGTGAAGGGATTCATATAATAAGTAGTGACTAATATTTGTTGTGATTTGGCCGATAGTGGAATGATTTTCTACAGGAGAGAATGTATCCTTACAAGTGTTGATTACCCTAGCTTTTGAATAACCCGCTCCATAAAAAACATTTAACACATGACCATTTTGTATTCTATCAGACTACACAAAACCACCTTCAGAATAATGAATTTATGGGTATGTTTAAAGTTAAGGGGCTATTGAAATTGTCATTGTAATGGCCTGCTTAATTCTATTAAAATGATACAGCATGGTGTTGCTATATTAACAATGTCCTGAGCAGTTGAAGGGTGTGGTTGTTTTCATACATCTGTGATTTGGGGGCCTTGTTGTCAGGATGCGTTATTGGTGCCCGTGATCCTGGTTCGTTCTCAGTCCTGCTGTTTAAAGTCTTGTCTCTGGCTTTGCCATAACCTTAGGAACCATTCAGGCTATTTGTCTTTCAGACACTGCAGAAAGGACGACTGCTCAGCAGCGGCACAGAGACAGAGTGGGATCGCAGTCCAAGGCAGGAGTTGGAACCCAGTAGCCCTGAAATTAAGGGCAGGGTGCCTGATTGGCCCAGGACCAGATACAGTGAAGAGCCACTCAGTCAATTGGAATCTGTCAGCATGGCAGATGTAGGCTCTGAGTCTCTTACACAAGGACTCAGCCCACCAGAACCTGAGCCCCAAAGACCTACTACGCCTATATCTGAGGCAGCAGGGTCAAAATCCATGACTCCCAATGTCAGAGGTGACCCTGACCTGGATCCCACGAGCCCTGTGGATCTTTCCAAGACACAGTCTCTCCATGCTGGCGGCTTCGGGCTTGGTTCTGACCTCCTCTTAGGGACCGTCCGAGTCAAAGCAGAACCTGCTGAACCCAACCATGTCGGGCCGGACCAGCGGGCAGGAGCGCTGCCTCCCCCGAGCCGAGAAGGGAATTTGATCAAAACTCGCCCTCCACCCGGCCCGGAGCCCGAGCGCGTTAATCCAGAGGCCGGTGGGCGGGAGAGCGCTCCCATCGTCGAGGTGGGAACGGCGTGGTTCCAGGAGAGGCTCCTCAAGCTCGGGCTCGAGAATGTGATGGAGGGACTGTGCAAGCTGGGGCCCGGGCTGCCCCGCCGAAATCCGGCTGGAGGGGGCGAGAGCAGCTCGACAAAGGTTACGCAGCAGACGTCTGGATCTCCGGTCACTCCTGCCCCCTCCTCGGCGCGCCCGAGCCCTGCCCCCGCGGAGTCCGCCGGAAACGCTCGGGGGTCCTCTCGCTGCGCGCGGCGCGGGAAGACCGCCCGGAAATCGCAGAGCCTCAGGGGGCACCTTACAAGCAAGGCTCAAGGGGAGAGACCGTCCCGCCGCAGACAGAGCGGGGAGAGCTCCGCGGAGCCCGAAAGCTTTCAGAAGCATCAGCGGGAGCACGCGGAAGAGGTCCTCTACTGCTGCGCCCAGTGCGGAAAGTGCTTCGCCCGAGCGGGGGACCTGCAGTCGCACCAGGAGGCTCACGCGCCGGAGGGGGAGCCGAACGGCTGCGCTGAGGGTCGCCGCCCTCCGCCGAGCCCTCAAGACCCTCCCCCGCGTCTCTCGGGAGCGGGTCCCTGCTGCTGCCCCCAGTGCGGGAAGAGCTTCAGCCACCCGGGCCACCTCGAAGAGCACCGGCGCACCCACGCCATCGAGAGGCCGTACTGCTGCGGGCAGTGCGGGAAGACCTTCAGTCACACCCAGAACCTCAAGAGGCACCAGCGGATCCACACGGGCGAGAGGCCCTACCGCTGCCCGCAGTGCGGCAAGAGCTTCAGCGACACGGGCAACCTGCGCAAGCACCAGCGCATCCACACGGCGGAGCGGCCGTACGGCTGCGCCCACTGCGGGAAGAGCTTCAGCCAGTCGGAGGTCCTGAAGAAGCACCTGCGCGTCCACACGGGGGAGAAGCCGTACTGCTGCGCGCAGTGCGGGAAGAGCTTCAGCGACACGGGCAACCTCCGGAAGCACCAGCGGACCCACACGGAGGAGAGGCCCTACAGCTGCGAGCAGTGCGGCCGGCGCTTCGGCCAGTCGAGCGACCTGAAGACGCACCGGCGCATCCACACGGGCGAGAGGCCGTACTCCTGCGGCCAGTGCGGGAAGAGCTTCAACCGGTCGGGGCACCTGAAGAAGCACCTGCGCATCCACACGGGCGAGAGGCCCTACTGCTGCGCCCTGTGCGGGAAGAGCTTCAGTCAGTCCGGCGTCCTGAAAAGACATCAGCAGATCCACGCGGGCGAGAGGCCGAGCAGTAGTTTGTAGCCCGTCAGCGTGTGCCTTCGCGAGGGGACATGAGAGACTGCTTGACGTGTGTCCGTGGCGATGAACCCTTTGCGATCAAGAACACAAACTTGCGCCGTGAAGACCGCTCAGACAGTGACGTTTGGACTGGACCTGGGCACTGATTTTCATGGCATACCTCCTCTTTTTCTGTGGGTATATGGGATTGTTTTTTCAGATTGTCTACCATGTACAGATCCCTGTTACAGCAAAAGAACAATAAAATGTCTCTGCTCTGTTCCACTGGTTTGAAGTTTCTGGTCCAGTGGGCAGGAGTGCTACCTGTTAGGGCATCCCTGCACTTCTGCAACCCGGCGGGCCTTCACTGGCTGCTGTTTCAGGAGTTCTCCAGTAGGTGGCGACAGCCTGCTATTATCTGTCTCCAAATCTGCAAAATGGTTATCCCGTAAGGTAGAGGTGGAGATCCCTGCTCCTGGTTAACCAAAAAGCTATTTTGATGAACAATTTTTTTGTTTCTGTTTCTACCCACAGCCTGCGGTTCACTGGTTCCCTTGTGGGGCCAGATGTCATTTTCTTTCCAAGTGTGGGATGAAATGCGAAACTTCCTGCTTATGACAATTTGCTGTTTGATGTCACATGCAGCTTCTGCAAAGCCGGGGATAATGTTATCTGGAATAGCCACTGTGCCATAAGTGGAAGTCCAGTACGATTGGTAATGGGCACTCATAAACCCCGATTCATTGTCATAACATGGGGTGACCATGGCTGTAGTCGGACTATAAAACTCTTGGTAACACTGTTGGAGTTCAGGACAGTGAGGGGGTATGCACCTTGTGTCTTCTCTCAGTGTTGTCCTGAAATGGTCTTTTTCGGCACAAATTAAAACTCATCTCATACCTTCACTGAGCTGGACTGTGACTTCTGTGTTCCATTGTCCCTGCTTGGGACTCCCAGTGTGGTCTGCTTATAGTTCTCCATGTTATGGTTTACTTGAACTCATAATGGGACTAATCTATCTTCTGAAGTAGTATTTTAATTGCTGCTTTCTAACTTTGAACGTTCAAAAATGTGTCGGAGGTACTTCTCTATCCCTTCCTCGGTGACCCTGACTAAATAGCACACGCAATATTTTCCTATTCTCTTGGAATCTCTTGACTATCACACACATTCTCCATGCATGACGTTTTATTTATAGCCAGCAGCCATACCGCCCTGCAACTCACAACGTGAAATCCACAAGAGCTCAGCAGGTGTGAGCCTGGTCAGTACCTGGATGGGAGACTCCTGGGAAAGCTGAGGCTGCTGCTGGAAGAGGTGTTAGTGGGGCCAGCAGGGGGCACTCAACCTGCGGTCTGTGTGGGTCCTAATGCCCCAGTATAGTTCAAGTTCGTCATTATACTCATATACAGGTATATGGTAAAACAAAATGCTATTTAGCTACTGTAGCTCTCAGACGATACATAGTACAAAAAAAAACAACAACAATACAATTGTATAATAAAAGAAAGACAGAGACAACAGGCAATGTGCAAAACAACAGAAAGGTAACAGGTAATGTGCAAAAACAACATCAGATGTGCAAAAACATGCATCAACAGAATTAAATAAAAGGATAGAAATTATGGGGAGTGAGCTTTTTGACATGTCAGTTAGAGAGAGATTTTCAATGTGTGAGTTTTTGGTAAGAAAGAAAGAAGGCACTGGGAGGTTCAGATCATAGGTGAGAGTGAGAGAGGCTGGGAGTTTAATAGTGTGGGGGTAAAAAGTATCTCTGAGTCTGGTAGTCAGGGCCCGAATGCTCCGGTACCGTTTTCCAGATGGCAGAGGGTCATACAGTCTGTAGCTGGGGTGTGTGGGGTCTTTGATGATACTTAGAGCTTTCCT